ACCTAAAAACCACTGATAGGCGAAGACACACCCCGCCGAGATAACATCCCGACACGAACCCTGAGGAACGAAGCCAAGCCCCGGGAACCGAGGACCGAAGCAAAGGCAACGGTTTAGGTACGGTACATATACGTTTAGTCGTGCGGGGCACCTGAAACAAGAGCCCTTATAACGCGATTCACACTAAGTAGAAATAAACACATTGTGCCGACAATGTCGGTTGAGCTGCAATACTTTGATTCAATGAATAAGACTCATGCACTGTCGTGGGATGTCACCATCATGTGCGGACAGACTGTAGTAGCACCTTCTTAAAGTAGTGCACCTCTTGTACAATTCCAATGAGCAAGGCCTGAAATCGCTCTGACATCCAGAGACATACTCTGCGGAGATAATATGCCAACAGCCACCCTAAGAAAACGGACCAAGCCCCGGGAAACGAAGACTGAAGCAAGGCCAGCGTTTTCGGTACGGTACATATATGTCTATTAGCGTAGTGCACATTACACGAGTCCGGATCATGCGATTCACACTTATTAGGACCAAACATATCTTGCTGACGGTGTCGGTGGATATGCAAGACTTCGATCCGATGAATAAGATTCATGCATTGCCGTCAGATGTTGCCATCATTTGCGGACGGACTGCAGTAGCACCCTCTTCAAGTAGTACACCTCTTGTATAATTCCAACTGGCGAGACCTAGAAACCACTCTGACATCCAAAGACGTACTCTGTCGAGATAATATGCCAACAGCCACGCTAAGCAAACGGACCAAGCCCCGGGAAACGAAGACTGAAGCAAGGCCAGCGTTTTCGGTACGGTACATATACGTCTGTTAGCGTAGTGCACCTCACACACGAGTCCGGATCATGCGATTCACGCTTGTTAGGACTAAACACATCTTGCTGACGATGTCGGTGGATATGCAAGACTTCGGTCCGATGAATAAGACTCATGCATTGCCGTGAGATGCCGCCATCATATCGTGCAGAGGGAATGTCGTAGCACCCTCTTAAAGTAGTGCACCTCTTGTACAATTCCAATGAGCAAGGCCTGAAATCGCTCTGACATCCAGAGACATACTCTGCCGAGATAACATGCCTACAGTCACCCTAAGAAAACGGACCAAGCCCCGGGAAACGAAGACTGAAATAAGGCCAGCGTTTTCGGTACGGTACATATATGTCTATTAGCGTAGTGCACCTTACACACGAGTCCGGATCATGCGATTCACACTTATTAGGACAAAACACATCTTGCTGACGATGTCGGTGGATATGCAAGACTTCGATCCGATGAATAAGATTCATGCATTGCCGTCAGATGTTGCCATCATCGGCGGACGGACTGCAGTAGCACCCTTTTCAAGTAGTGCACCTCTTGTATAATTCCAATTGGCGAGACCTAGAAATCGCTCTGACATCCAAAGACGTACTCTGCCGAGGTAATATGCCAACAGCCACGCTAAGCAAACGGACCAAGCCCCGGGAAACGAAGACTGAAGCAAGGCCAGCGTTTTCGGTACGGTACATATACGTCTGTTAACGTAGTGCACCTCACACACGAGTCCGGATGATGCGATTCACACTTATTAGAAATAAACACATCGTGCCGACAATGTCGGTTAAGTTACAACACTTCAGTTCAATTGATTTGACTCACGCATTGCCGTGAGATGGTATCATTACCAACATTACCATTACCGACATGATATGCTAATACGTAGCTTACAGAAATGACTCAAGCATCAGGAGCTGTCATTAAACATGACTCATGAAACACTGTGCTTGGTTTGTGTAACGACAGCATGTACTGTCACAGTGCGGGCCCGCGAGTACCCAGCCACGTCTGAGCATTACTCGCTCGCCGCCTCCGAGAAGTTCGTAGGCTACACCGCCTAGGAGTTCGGGTCGACTCCTTACAGCTACTCGTCATAAACAGTCATAGCCAATCAAGCTATGCGGAGACTGGAGGTGTGCAGTGAAACGGGTATAGCTCAGAAGCTAGAAGGGCTTTGGTCGTGAGAAGAGCAGGGCTGTGAACTACACCGAATGATATTCAAGCTGACTTTTTCAGTTCAAAACTTCATACGAAGGTGAAACACTCCCGTTAAACGGAAATAAACATCCTACATGGAAAATTTACTTATCTTTCAAAGGGATGAAATGAACGCATTTGATTGAAGTCAACTCATGAACAGTATGACAAATGTCGGTCAGATTGTTCAGAGCTGTTCCACAACTTTTACTATCGCCATACACACTTCATCACTTAACATGGTCGTAACGCTTGATACTTGTCTGAGGTGTCAATGTATACACGCGATGGATGAGCCGCAAGCATAAACACGTGTGGAAAGCATCTCAACAGCAAGACCAGAGCGAGCCCACTCACCGCAGATGTCGTACCTTGCATTTGCAAGGTAAGATGTCGTGATCAAACCATGACGCATCAAAGGGCAGATGTGATAAACGGTGAGTTGTACTGTCTAGAGGAGTCGTTTTCACTCATCAACTATTCCAACAGTCATAAATGAGTGTGTTTTTATCACGTATGATGCTACCATCAATATCTTCAAATGAAACATTTGCTTTAAGTAAGGTGCCCGGAAATACGATACACTTCAGCACACTATGGAACGAAAATGACATTGCTTGCCGAGAAACACACCTCATCTGCATTTGCCACAGATTTTCTTGCTGGTGTCATGAGTTCATATGTGTTAACTAACTGAACTTTGGTACACCAGCAGTTCTATGACGTTATGAAGGTATTATTTGTGTACAGTGTGACCATGCTTATTGCTTAAAGGCAGGGCCCAAGGCCTTGGGTTATGACCAGGGTACGGCGCGACCACGAGGGTTGAAATGTGGTCTGACCCATGGCCATTTCTTCCGTTTTATCGCGATAACAAAAAGAAACAAAAAAAAAGTTGAGAGCGAAGACCTTTTCATAAGACAACCTAGCAGTGCTGTACACGCGTGGCAACTCCGAAGTGAAACCGGCTCACTTGAAACTCGGCTGGTCTGCTACTGTTATCTCTTATACTCCCCTGAGATAGACAGGGAATTTGTACCGACGCAGAACGTAGTTTACTGACACGGTCAAATAGCTGCCACCTGAAACGCTTAGGTGGTGAAAGTCAAACAGGTTATAGCATGGAGCGATGTCAAACCAAAGCCAGTCTCCCGCATTCCTATCATGGTTTCCATCAATTTACTGTCACATGTTGCCGTGGTGACATCATCGTTATGCATCTTAGCTGCAATCTAGCCAACGTCAAAAGGCGTGGGAATAAAACGACTTGAATGCATCGCAAGGACATCACATGGACTATCGGGCATACCAGGCTTCTCAAGCCACCATATTTCCCACGCTGTTCCACATTGAGCGCCATTGCCCGCTGCACGTGACGCGGCGCACGTGCAGAGGCAGATGAAGCGTCAAAAATGTGGGTGCATCTCAATGTGGGTGCTGCACGCATTATCAAATGACACTCTACTCCTTCCTGTTTCGTAGCATTCAGGTATGTTACCCACGAATTTTTTCTAGCCAAACCTGCTGACAAAGACATTGTCCCAAACGAAGCCAAATGCAATCCTACACTCGCCTATGACACCGCTCAACCGGAAGGGTATTCCGGTTACGGACGAACGGACGGAGGGATGTTCCGGTTACAACGGACAGCATTGTCGCCCTGGGCGGTTGTCATTAAGCCGTTGAGTTCGAGAATGGCGGCGCCGATTCCAAGAAACGCTCACGAGCTGAGCACTCAGCACCTCATCAGCCTCGACAGAACCATAGACTGGCTGAGGTTAGTGGGGGAAGCTGAATGTCTTCTTTCATTTGCACATACAATGACTTCCCGAACAAAACAAGTAGCCTTGCACGACTTTGGCTTGGATGTAAAATTAAGTGCTAGACTTTCAAGCAGGTTGTCACTCAATTCCAAAATCTCTTGCTACCTTTGCGTTCAAATATTACCAATGCAACACAACCCTGGTGCTAGGGATGCTTCAACGTCGTTACCATGGACAGTTATCTTAGTTCTTGGCCCCTCCGCTCTGCAACGGACAACACTGAAGTAGTCTTGTTCGTTGGTCTGGTTGCTTGTTATTACTTTCAACTGCTATGAAGTATGCTTGCTTGTAAATAGCTGACATCACAGCTTCCTCCTGGCGCGCCACTGCGCCCGCGCAAGGCTAGACACGTGTTTTGGCGAAAGGAAGAAACATGCGCTTTACCCCGCTATCAGCCAATGGGCCCTGGCTGCGGAATATCGGCCTCATGTCACGCGTACATGTGTGGTTGATAGTGAACGAGCACGAACATTTTGAGGGTTTTCGATTATGGTAACTCATTACGTGTGTGGGCGGACCACGCTCTCAAACCTAGTCTGTAGGCGTTAGGATTGTGATCTAGCCCTGTAAACGGGCAAATGCTATTTCATTTTCATCTGGTTAGTGTAAGATCGAGCACGACTTCCATCATACTACCGCGGCCACGTGATGTGTCGCTTAGGCTCCCTCTTACACAATGGCATACGCCATGCGAATAGGCCCTGCAACTTGCGATGAATTATGCATGATGGTGGGATCCATGACGCCACGTTGCTCAGTCGAAGCGGATGGAATCGGTGTCTTCATTTTTCAACGATTTTTGGTGGGTCTGTATCACGTGTTGCTATGCGTTGTCACTGCAAGCCTGGTCACTGGCGCGGTGCAAGCGTGAACTAAGTGGAACTTGAACCGCCCGTACCGAATAAAGGGAATCTTAACTTACGCATGGAAATGGGCTGCAATTAGTCTGTCTTTCCTCATTCCCGCTTTATCGGCCATCCCCGCGACGTCCCATCTGACTGGGAACAGAGGCATGCATCAGCCATGAGTGGACAAGTGCCTCAAGGGCAAGTGCCCCTGGCAAGTGCCCCTAACGACACCTTCCGAGTTTACGCACAAACACGGATAGAGGTTCCTGTGCGGGCTAAGTCTAGGCGGATGGACCTCCGGTGCGTGTAGTTTTGCCCATCGTTATTCCCTCTTCTTCATTCCTTAACCCATAAATGGCCACTTCCTACCGGAAGGCCAATGGCTGGTAACCAATTGTCATACTACCCACTAACCAAATGTGTGCAACTCTGGTACCGCATGATTACAGCTCCTTACAACTCGAATCGCCCTTTTCCTCTGCTAGCGTGGGAAGCGCGGACTGTAGCACTCTGCTTCTCCAGCGCAGACTGGTAATTTGAGGGTCCGGCATTGCAAGGCAGGCCCTCAACCTCCAGCCATTCCCTCGAGCCCTTAATTGACATCTTCGAGGGCCCTTCTGGCCTTTCTGGATTTAAGGGGCAGGTGCACGCGAGCCGAAATGAAGCATTTCATTCGGCTGAAGACTCCCTATCACCTTCTTTTCAATTTACCAGACCGAGTAACATCGTGTTGCGTATGAGACGACTATCCATCGCTAGCTGGTTAGAAAATTATATTACTTTTCATGACCTGTTGTCGTTTTGGACTTGCATGAAACTTCTTCTTACACTTTATTTTTTAACTAGATGACCACAGCAATCGGTGGGCAAATCACCACCCATCCCACTGGCTGTATTAATCGCCCCAACAACTCTTAATTTTACCTACAATATGCCTTAACTATACCTAAACCTAAACTGACCTGAAATGACCTGACCCCAATCCTCCTGACCAGTTTCAACCGTTCACAGGGACATCGGCCTCCTGGCCAGACATCCCCCGCTGTGCGCCTCATGCCAAGCGGCAACATATGAGGGTAGGGCCACCCGCTGCGCCGACAAGGTGGTGTGGCGTTGTCGCGCCCAAGGGTGCCGGTGTACCTTACCGATAAGAAAAGGCTCTTTTTTTGAGCGCAGTCACGCCTCCCTGAAGGCGCTGGTGCTGGCTGTTTATTATTATGCAGCCCAGGCACCACTGTACCTGGTCGCAAGGGAGTCGGGGCTCTCCCAGCAGACCCTTGTGGATTGGACAAACTTCCTGAGAGAGGTGAGATTTAGTGAGGTGGACATTCGATGCGTGAACGGTGTCACTGTTTTTAGATACTGGTTTGACAAAAAGTTTCGGGCACATAATTTGTAATTACAGAAGAGCACTTTCAGGGGCGCTGTGATCATACTTACGTGTGCATTGTGATGACCACAAACTCCGACTAGCACGCCCATTACAGAGGTCCAGCAAACTGTGACCGATATGGCTCGTATCTTCCAGCCAAACATTCGGAGATTTGGTCTACGTGATCGTACATGTTCACGATGCATCGCACATGTTAAAGATGCCTTCATATCATAATATTGTTCATCATAGGTTTATTGTTGTGTTATTTGTTATATTTATAATGGTATTGTCTTTTTCATTGACAATGTCTACAGGTTTACTGATTTGTCATCATAAGTTTATTACACGGGAGTGTCAAATAATGGTGCTGTAGTGAAACCTAAAGTGTATCGCGGGTACACACGTGTAATCGACGGCGGATGGGAAAATGGCTTTAAGACCTCTGTGTTTTCTCTTATATATTTGCTTCTGAAGCAGTACAGAGCTGGCAAAAAGCAAAGCAAACATGCGGGCATTCGCGGCCGCAATGTAGCACACGTAGACAGGGCAGCGAACTTATCACCATTTAGCACTTTACATACCCGATATTAAATGATCGCAATGTATTCCGAAGCAGATGAAATGTGCTAACAGTGCATACCTCTAAGTACTTTCACGACACCCTTCATTTGTTGGACGTGCTTGACCTGACCTAGATTGGCTCAACATGAAAACCACAGCTTTTGTGCCATGAATGTTGCATTCTGGCGACAAAACAGTTGGGTAAAAGAAGTAAATATAACTTTCCCCATCCCTTCATCCCCGCGTGTATGCAGGGCAGCCACTATCTCCTCGACAACATCACTGCAACGGCGACATTTGTGCGTAACAATTGGTGACCATGAGCATGAGCGCTACCTCGAATGCTCCATAGCAGCCGTCTAGTTTGTTTTTATGGGGGTTCGAATTCCACCCAACAACTTCTACCTGGCAGTTAGTAAGCGCAGGGCTTAGTCTCTTTTGTGCATTTTGGGAGAATGAGTGATCATTTTTCGTTACTGAGCACTACCCTTAACGTGTTACGCAACACCACTTTTTCATGGCGTGTATAGCTGTGCCCATTGTGTGTTGTCATAGGTCATGAGCGAGGATCTGCTCCGAAACCCAGTGCTGCTCGGTGGGCCTGGGATAATCGTGCAGGTTGATGAGAGTTTAGTGGCCAGGCAGAAGCCAGCCCGAAATAACCGGGCCAGGCCCACTGAGCAGCAATGGGTTTTCGGAATGGTGGACAGCGCCGGTAACCAGCACCTGCAGCTGGTGCCGGACCGACGGGGCGCCACGCTGCTGCCCATTATACGGGCACACACCATACCTGGCTCAGAGGCGAGAGCTGGCGCTGAAACGTCACGATTCCATCATTCCGATACCTTTTCTGATGTGTCAAAAAAGGAATGGTGAAATGAAGTAGTATGAGGAATGCGTTGCATGCACGCAATCGGCCGACGAAGGACGATACATCCAAAACATCGCGCAATTTGACTGGACGGATACAGCTGTCGGCGTGCCGTATCTATCGTATCCACATGTTCACATGTATCACTCTCAAAACCCATCGCTGGTGATATCCCCAGCACAACATTTACCTGGCAAACGGATAATGTAGTTTGTGGCTTCATCGCCACTGTAGACAGATAATAGATAGTCAGTTTCTGGCCGCGATCCGGCGTACCTCCCACCCGTTGGTCAGTGCCTGTCGAAGCTGCGCTGCAGACCTAACGAGCCACGTTTGTATGTGTATGTTGGTGTTTACAGATCTGGTCAGACCAGTGGGCCGGCTACGGCCTGCTGGCGGTCGCCGGTTTCGTCCACCGCACCGTAAATCATTCGGTGGAGTTTGTCCGCGCCGATGGTAAGCTTTGCTACAAAAACAGTGACGTAGTCGAAGTTCTGCATGATTTCCTGCCACACATAGATAATAGTGTAATGATGTTCCTAGGTGCCCACTTTGTTATAACGACAGGAACTCAACTGCTTATTCTACGCTTACCTGGCCTAGCTTGCCCGTGAATCATATCAAGTATTAGCAAAATGCATATGCGTATGCGGTTTCCCAACGACACAGTCACCATGCGCGAGATGACCTGGCGAGTTTGAATGACTGCCCAAGATACACAGTATGCTTGTTAAAGCGCATTGCGACATAAGGACAGCTGGACAACCTTAACTACCGCTGTTCCAACGTCGTAAACATGCAACCGCAGAACGTTGTACAGGGCAAACAAGTTGCGCTGCACTGCCTCGTGTCGAGGCGGAGCTGAATGCGATAAATATGCACGGCGAACTGTTGGGCGTTCATCGCATCAGAGATACCAGATACCAGAGATACTGATACCAGGGACAACTGCCTGCTAATTTCAATCCCGGCTTGAGAATGGGAAATGCTGAGAGCTGCCCGACATGTTGACAGCTGTATTGACCAGCATATGGCCTGTGCGAATCATTTAACCAGCCTGCGATATATCACCAGTGATCTATCACCAGGCAAATGAACGGGTATATTCCACAACACCATACTCGTCCCTGAGCTATATAAGGTCCGTGTTCCAGGTGTCAACACCAACACAGTAGAGGGCATGTGGTCGGTCATGAAGGCCAAGCTGAAGCGGACGCGGGGCACATCACGCCAGATCCTGCCAAGCTACTTGGACGAGCACATGTGGCTCAAACGCCATGGCCGCAGTAACGTTAGTGATAGCTTCAGGTTGTGTGTGAAAAGAGAGAGAGAGAGAGAGAGAGAGAGAGAGGAGAGAGAGAGAGAGAGAGAGAGAGAGAGAAGAGAGAGAGAGAGAGAGAGAGAGAGAGGAGAGAGAGAGAGAGAGAGAGAGAGAGAGAAGAGAGAGAGGAGAGAGAAGAGAGAGAGAGAGAGAGAGAGAGAAGAGAGAAGAGAGAAGACGAGAGACAGAGAGACAGAGAGACAGAGAGACAGAGAGACAGAGAGACAGAGAGACAGACATACAGACAGGCAGACAGACAGAGAGAGAGCATTGGTTGGTAACTGCCGCAAACAGACCACTCACTGTACAGAGATGTCGGGGCTACAACGACCAAACGACCAGGCGCGACTTAGCCAGAGTTTCTTTGAGTGTCTTTTTGAACGGGATTGGTGCTAACCAAATGCTTCACCTGCTAACAGTCATTCAGATATTGGACGTGCTTTGTAAGAAGTAGCGCAGGAACAAAACGAGTGTCTGAGCGCTGTTCTGTGCATGGTATGAACAATACCTAATTCAGTATCTAATTGCTTTCGTTAACGCAACTCGTTTCAGACGTTCCCTGAGCTTCTGCGGGCCATCCGGCAGCAGTACCCAGTGTAGGGCAGGTCCGTCCGCGTCGGTCCGGCTCGCTCGGCGTCCGAACGGCGTCTTGCGTAGTTCGCCGCCTTCCGAGCAAGAGTAGCCACACCGCCTGGTGTTTTGACTGGTGTTTGTTGTAAGTACGTGTGTTCGTTTTGCTATAACTGTTGACGTTGGTAATAAAGTGTGTCTGAATTCATCGCTTTCTTCACCATGCAGAACGAAGTAGTCTCGAGGATGTCTTAGCTACGGGAACATAAAATAAACCAAGTCCCTTCAAAATGTCATTTCATAGCAAGGAGGCACTTCTGCATCACGATGCGCCGAGATCCGTAATATTCCATAGTAGCGTTCGAGTCATATGACCCTGTTTCATGTGTGAAAGTTATCGATTCACGAAACATTCCTGCGCGGCGTGCTGATACATAGTAAGTTGGAATGGTATCAGCCCGACTTAGGCTTAGGTAGCACAGAATCATCAACCATTAAAGAATCCTCCAATGAAATCAAGCTTTGGTTCGATCTACGGTTCACGGGGCTTGGCCCATCCTCTTAGGACTGCTGCTGGCATATTATCTGGGTAGAGTATGTCGTTGGATGTCAGAGCGACTTCCAGGTCTCGGCAACTGGAATTAAACAAGAGGTGCACTTCTCTAAGAGGGTGCTTCTTCAGTCCGTCCGCACATGATGACAACATTTCACGGCAAGGCATGGATCATATTAGTTGAACTTAAGTGTTGCAGCTCAACGTACCTTGCCGGCACGATGTACTTTTTCTACTTAGTGTGCATCACATTATCCCGACTCGTGTATGAGGTGCACTGCGCTAATATACGTATACGTAACGTACCGAAAGCGTTGGCTTTGCTTTGGTCTTCGGTTCCTGGGGCTTGGTCCGCTTTCTTAGGATTGCTCCTGGCATATTGTCTCGGTAGAGTATGTCTCTGGATGTCACAGCGATTTCATGTCTCACACATTAGAATTTCGGGACGGTACGTATACGTTTATAAGCGCAGCGCACCTCACACACGAGAGTATTGTCTCGGAAGGAAAGTTCTTGAGTGCCAGAGCCGTTTTCATGTCACATGAGGTTCCAGGTGCACCTCATACACAAGTCCGGATAATGTGATTCACACTAAGTAGAAATAAACACAGCGTGCCGACAATATCGGTTGAGCTACAATACTGCGGTTCAATGAATAAGGCGCATGCATTGCCGTGAGATGATACAAATGTGTTGTGCGAACGGACTGCAGTAGCACCCTGTTAGAGTAGTGCACCTCTCGCATAATTCGAATTGACGAGACCTAAAAACCATTCTGACATTCAAAGACATGGTCTACCGAGAGAATATGCCAACAACAATGCCAAAGAAATAAGCCAAGCCCCGGAAACCGAAGACTGAAGTAAATCCCACGATCTCAGGACGGTACATATGCTTAATTGGCGCAGTGCGTCTCATACATGGGTTCGGAAAATACAATTCACACTTGCTAGAAATAGACACGTCGTGCGGACAATGTCGGTTGAGTTACTACACTTCGGTTCAATGAACAACACCCATGCATTGCCGTGATATATCACCATCACGTTGCGCGGACTGGCCGTAGAAGCAGCCTCTTAAAGTTGTGTACCTCTTGCATTATTCCAGCTGTCGAGACCTCAAAACGGCCGCGGCATCCAATAACATTTTCTACCGGGGAAGTACTCTCGTGTACAAGGTACGCTGCGCTTATAAATATATATGTACCGTACCGAAAACGTTGGCCTCGCTTCGGTCTTCGCTTTCCGGGGCTTGGTCCGTTCCCTTAGAATTGCTGTTGACACATTATTTCGGTACAGTGTGTCTTTGGATGACAAAGCGGTTTTTAGGTCTCGCCAACTGGAATTATGCAAGAGGTGCACTACTTTAAGAAGGTGCTACTACAGTCTGTCCGCACATGATGGTGACATCCCACGACAGTGCATGAGTCTTATTCATTGAATCAAAGTATTGCAGCTCAACCGACATTGTCGGCACAATGTGTTTATTTCTACTTAGTGTGAATCGCGTTATAAGGGCTCTTGTTTCAGGTGCTCCGCACGACTTAACGTATATGTACCGTACCTAAACCGTTGCCTTTGCTTCAGTCCTCGGTTCCCGGGGCTTGGCTTCGTTCCTCAGGGTTCGTGTCGGGATGTTATCTCGGCGGGGTGTGTCTTTGCCTATCAGTGGTTTTTAGGTCTCGCCAATCGGAATTATACAAGAGGTGTACTACTTACTTTAAGAGGGTGCTACTACAGCTTGTCCGCACATGATGGCAGCATCTCACGGCAATGCATCAGTCTTATTCATCGGACCGAAGTCTCGCAGTTCCACCGACATTGTCAGCACGATGTGTTTATTTTCCATAAGTGTGAATCGCCTGATCCGGACTCGTGCATGAGGTGCACTGCGCTAATAGACGCATATGTGCCGTACCGAAAACGTTGGCCTAGCCTTCAGTCTTCGGTTCTAAGGCTTGGTCCGTATCGTTAGGATTTTTATTGGCATATTATCTCGGTAGAGTATGTCTTTGGATGTCAGAGCGGTTTTTAGGTCCCGCCAATTGGAATAATACCAGAGGTGTACTACTTGAAGAGGGTGCTACTGCGGTCCGTCCGCCAATGATGGCATCATCTGACGGCAATACATGAGTCCTATTCATCGGACCGTGGTCTGGCATATGCACCGACGTCGTCAGCAGGATGTGTTTGGTCCTAATAAGTGTGAATCGCATGATCCGGACTCGTGTGTAAGGTGCACTACGCTAATAGACGTGTATGTACCGTACCGAAAACGCTGGCCTTGCTTCAGTCTTCGTTTCCCGGGGCTTGGTCCGTTTCCTTAGGGTGGCTGTTGGCATAATATCTCGGCAGAGTACGTCTCTGGATGTCAGAGCGATTTCAAGCCTTGCTCATTGGAATTGTGCAAGAGGTGCACTACTTGAAGAGGGTGCTACTGCAGTCCGTCCGCCGATATGGCAACATCTGACGGCAATGCATAAATCTTGTTCATCGGATCGAAGTCTTGCATATCCACCGACATCGTCAGCAAGATGCGTTTGGTCCTAATAAGTGTGAATCGCATGATCCGGACTCGTGTGTAAGGTGCACTGCGCTAACAGACGTATATGTGCGGTACCGAAAACGCTGGCCTTGCTTCAGTCTTCGTTTCCCGAGGCTTGATCCGTTTCCTTAGGGTGGCTGTTGGCATATTATCTCGGCAGAGTATGTCTCTGCATATCAGAGCGATTTCAAGCCTTGCTCGTTGGAATTGTACAAGAGGTGCACTACTTCAAGAGGGTACTACGACAGTCCCTCTGCACGACATGATGGCAGCATGTCACGGCAACGGAGTAGTCATATTAATTGAACCCAAGTGTTGTGGTTTAAGCGACAATGTCGTCACGATGTGTTTGGTCCTAATAAGTGTGAATCACATTATCCGGACTCTTGTATGAGATGCACTGCGCTAATAGACGTCAATATACAGTACCGAAAACGTTGGCTTGGCTTCGGTGTTTGGTTCCCGTGGCTTGGTCCGTTTTTTAAGACTGCTGGAAATGCTTCAGTTCCACCGACATTGTTGGGTTTTTCTCTGTGCTGTCTGTTTGGAAATATCAATTCGAGACACGAATGTGAAGAACTGAGATACTTGTCTTGATTGGTCGAATGAACGTAATTTGGTGCTTATGTTGCCCTTTTAGTACATGCTATAAATCGTCGGCTGTCTGCGTGTTAAAAATCATATGACCTGTTTGTGGCCGAAATTATTATATTATCAGATTGTTATTTCTTGAAGATGGTAGGCAATCATGCGAGCGTTGTGAGTAGCAGTGGTCGAAACGACGTAGTGAATAATGTGAATTGCCTGCTCATTATTTTTGGTGCTAAAGATGTCGTTTTGATTGTATGATTTCAAAGTCGGGCAATCCTGCTAACGCGAGCTAGTTGAGCCCGTGCCGCACTGCGCGTAAAACGCTCGCGGTGGAGATTTTTCTTCTTCTAAAAGAGGTGAAGTACTTGAAGAAAACCCACAACTGGTGGTCGCACGATATATATAAATATATATAAATATTTATCAATAATTGTACAGATGGCCGCCGTAACCTTCTATCGCCTGAGCTCGCACACGTGCCCCCGGCGTCGTCGCCTGAAAATCAAGGCCGTTGCGGCGCTGTCGCGCATCGCAACTAAGAACTATTAGATTATGTTGAATGGTGGAAAACAGCGACTGAGAGGACGCTGTAAAATAGCAATTAGAATTCACGATTTATAATAAAAACAAACTAATCTACCATCGACACGAGTTAAGAGGGCAATCAGAAAAACGGAAAATTGCACACCGAACAGGTTTGACACACGTTCGAGATATGGCGCAAGCAAATTTGTATACAAACACGACGCGGTAGGCACATGCAAGGTCAAAGGAGCTGATTAAAACGCTGCCGTTGGTTGACCGCCACAAGGGTGGCAGATTGCGGGGTTGCGGTGAGCCTTGTAGCGTCGTTGAGTGCACCGTGAGTGACATTATTTATTATGTCCAACTCGCTAGGAGCGCAGTTATGTGAGCTTTGGAGGACATTTCCACTTAACGTGTAGCATTTTGCTTCATGGAGGGGGGGGGAGTTATCCAAATGTGATGAAAAGGCTTGCACTCTTTTTTAGAGACCACCAATATAACACAGACGTAAATATGCCTCTCAAGATATGCGGAAGAACCCAGTACTTAATTTGAGACGACTTCCTGCATAGTCGGCGGTGGTTAACGCAGCCGCAATAGTGTTTTTGACCAGGTTGCAGCGGGTGTTGATAATATAACAGCGTTTGGTTTACCACTGACTAGATGGTGTAGACCACGAAAAGTGACCACACATCAACAAGAGCCACATGGCACAAGTGCAGAGGCAGTTACCTGGCATTCATAATCGTGTCTGAGCTGGGACTTTGGCGGCCAGCACCGTCCCTACTTAGTGAGCGAGAACGCTCTTTGAGAAGGCAACAGACAGACAACTGAATATGGCTGGATTTGCTACGACTTTGATAAACTTGACGAGGTTAAGAATACCCCTGAACAATCGTTTTCATTGTGGGGAACAATCTAGTCACTTGCGGTTTTGGGAAAGAGCCGTCTTTGGCC